TAAGGGATATGTTCTTAAAAGTCAAGGCGTGATACCTTGCGAAATGCCTGTCAAGGCAGTCTCTGCAAAATCTGTGACCACATTTCGTCAAAATAGGGTCTTTCAGTGGTAGCGTACAAATTGCACATTGCAATTCGTCTTCAACTTCACTAACAAAGTCATCATCGTATCCGCCAAACGAAGGATTTGCTTCAGCTTCCGCCATTTTGTCTCAGAACGGTTGCCTTAGCGTCATAGCCAAGTGAAAAAAATGAGACCTTGTGATTAATTAGATCATGTTGGCTGTCAGCCAAATGATAATAGTGCCTGACATGACTTCGTTGCTACTTTTCCAAGAAAGCGAGCCGTGACGTTCGATCGTTTACTTCAACAACAGAACGGGAACGTCAGTTGACGACGGCGCGTGCCAGTCAAACAGGTGGCTTGACCAATGGCAGAGCGGCAAATTGGGCACCGGAAGTAGCGTTCAGTCCTTTCCGCGCGCTTTGCTGTCGTCAACTGACGTTCCCGTTCTGTTGCTAAATCAGCCGATTAATAATTAGACTAGAGCAAACGAGGTCTCAAATCCCAGGATAGAAAACTTATCAGTATGCACAAGCTTTCGACTCCATCGTGGGATCGTTATCTAGTGATGGAGTTGTTGGACTTTTTGTCACGTGATTTATACGTGATTTGTAGATCGCGGGGAGCTCGTAACTGGCGTTCCTGTTCAAAGATTTAGCCCGACAAAATATTTCGATGGCCTCCCTGACTCTTTTCTTAAACATGTCGTCTTCTCTCGCAAGGATCAAGGAGGAGATGATATCCAAGGTTTGTGTAGTGTATTGATTATAGTAGTAACAATTATGAACTATATACTAAGATCAGAACCAAATGATGCTTAAAGTGCTACAGAACGATTGTGAAATTACTGGTACTGAGTAACAGTAGAGCATGATTGTACTAGGATAAAGATAATTGTTCGGTTAATAACAGACTTTGTGTAGTTATACAGCTGGAAAATTTATGGTCGTACTGCTCAGCCACTTTCCTGGAAAAAAAAATTGCTTTTGGTAGGTAGTATTTTCATTCTTCACGACATTCTACGTATACCCCGTGTATCTAATATTTCGCAATGAGTTACTTGTTCCTTTAACATGTGGGAATCTCATTTTAGAGGGCCCGCGAAACTACAGACTAATGTGAAATATAATCCGAAAGGCCGTTCCAAAGACGAACCAAATAATATGAGTTAATTTTTGTTTGCCTTGTTTCGCTCTTGCTGTAGATTTTCTCAAAGTCCTTTTTCCGGTTTTTGTAGTTTTCCCACAGAAGCACAATAACAGCCCACAATTACTAAACATGCACTTCTATCTGACTAAAGTTACTCTAAACAGCTGAGACCACGAACTTACGGTCCCCGCTTATAAGACTTATAACGAGTTCATCCCTAGCTGGAAGTGTGAAACTGACAATCATCAAGCGGACGAAAGATTCGGCTAAGCCAGCTAAGAGGAAGACAGTTTGACTTCACATTGCACTTTAATTCATTTCAAGCTGAGTTCACGGTGTCAAAAGCGTCACTTTTCTTATAAACCCCGTTTTGGACACACTGGCCACCAACCAACACACGCCTGGTCGACAAGCCCTTTCACTCAAAAGAGATCAAATTTCGGAAGAAAAATTTCCCCTTTTGCATCTTTCCCATTATTTATTTCTTTTCTTTTTCGTACAAACATGTGAATGGTCCAAGACTCCTCGTTCGTCAGTTTTCATCAGTTCTCATGGCTGGCGCCCGGTCTGGTTATAGGATAGCAAACTACGCTGGATGGTATAAGTTAGGATGTGCAGTGCTAAACCTAATTTTTAGTTTTTCTAAATTTTAGTACTTCGTCCTAAAAAACCTTTTATTCACAAAAACCACGAACTGACAGGGTTACATGATAACGTAAAACCATTCCCTCCTGGTGAAACTTGATGTTCGTAAGTCAGTTCATATCGAGAAAATTACAGAAAAGGTAGCCCCTGCTCCTATAAGGCCCCTTTACACAGAAATTTTTTCAACAACCGTCAACACTCCTTTGTAAATGGTCCTTAACATCATAGTTTTCAATTAAGCCCCTTGAACGATGTCTTCATTAAATTGGTACTATAAAACATTGATTCCCGACCTCATAAGATCACAGCGCAAGAAAACAAGATGTCTAAGTACAGTCAAAAATAAGGATTATACTAACACTACAGGGGCAGAGCCGTGATGGGCGTTCATTACACAGGGATCCTTGAGGGGATCCCATGAAGTTTGGTACCTTTTGGGCCAAGAGAATTAGCTGTCCAAGTGTTCGTAATCACATCGATTTGTAGTTAAAACTACAGTTGACTCCAGGTCAATAGAAAAACAGGGAACTGGTAACTCTCATTAGATTGCGTACAGTCTCTTATTTGTCTTTTCAGTCACCGTAGATCGAAAGTACGCGCAAGGGACGAGCGGCTAAGCCACGAGGAACTAGGGCGGAAGTCCTTTTTCCTCTCCCAATCTCCCTTCCTTTTTCAATTTTTTTTTCACGATTTTTTTTTTGCTCGCTGCGCGTGGCTCTCACGAAAGAAAGACGACCACTCGGGTCAAATCAAATCCCGCGTAAATCGTCAACCAAGAATTAATTTCCATTCAGTTTATTGTAACTAATTACCCTCGAAAACTCGAACTCGTGTAAGAATATTATAGTGCATATCAGTGTCTTATTCATATGCTGAATCTCTCCCTTGGTACTGCGCATTACGAAGTATCGCTCAGTGTAAAACTCTTTTTTTCCGGACAAACCTCAAAGGTTTGAGTTATCCGCAAGTCAACAACAACAACTACAACAACAACTTTATTACCTAAGTTGAGCTTTTACTAATTTACACCAAAATTAAAGCAAGACTTCGCTTAAAACAATTAACGGTTACCCCTAATCAAGCTGATAAGCAACAGAAAATTGAAACAGACAGTATTGTACCGTACAGAGAACGAAAAAAAAACAAAACAATATCACACGAGCAATAAACCTGTTTAGCTTGTATGTAATGCTTGTATGTCATGCCTTTGTTACTGCAAGGATCGACTATTGTAACTCATTGCTCTACGGTCAGCCTAAATGTATCTTGAAACGTTTACAGAGTGTCCTAAAAAGTGCTGCTAGGCTTATTCACCTTACTAGTAGATATGAACATGTTACGCCGTTGATTATTCAACTTCATTGGCTACCAATTGAACAAAGGATAACTTTCACAATTGCAGTAATTACATTTAAGGCACTTCATGGTGCTGCACCTAGCTATGTCACTGATCTCATCAAGCCTTATACACCTGGTAGACTTCTTAGATCCTCGAATCAATTTTTACTTTCTACATCTAAATTTAATCTTAAAACTTATGGTGGCCGGTCTTTTACTATTGCTGCACCTTCTGTTTGGAATGCACTTCCATTCGAACTTAGATCTTGTAATTCCCTTTCTTCTTTTAAATCTAAGTTTAAGACTTGGCTTTTTAAAATTTGTTATGATGTTGTCGTATAGAATGATGATGTTTTTATAGGATGACAATGTAGTTTTGTAGTTTTGTAGGTTTAGTATTTTGTTGTTATTTTTATTATGTAAAGCGCTTTTGGACCATTGGGAAATAGCGCTCTATAAATATTGTATATTGTTATTATTATTATTATTATTATTATTATTATTATTATTATTATTATTATTTTTATTTTTATTATTATTGTATGTTTTGTTTTCCCAATAGAGGTCCCAGGAGAACTTAACCTTTTGTCTTTTCATAAATTATGCGTATATTTGCATGATTATGCATGTGAATAGATGAAATTTGAGAGAAACAGTTCCCTAGAATATTATCACTTGACCTGTGTTGGGAAAACAAAGCATACAAGCTAAAGAGGTCTATTGAGATTATTTTCGAAACCAACTAACAAATAGTAGAAACACAGAAAGAAAAGTACTACAAAAAAAATACAAGTATGAAAGGTACTAGATAATAACTTCACTAAAATGATCTAACTTTGATTGATGATACGTCTACAAAGTATTGCCCATAATTTTGGTTTGAAATCCTTTTTTTAATGCAGAGCACTTTAATGCTGTCGTCTAAATGATGGAAAACGTTAGAGGCTGCAAAACGTACGTTCGTTAAACTTTCAAAAGTACCCGTGGCACTGTGTAAATTAAAGACTTTGCGAGAAGACGAGAGATGGCCACCTTTTCCCTAGCCGACCCTCTTTTAGCCTGCGAATACAGCCGTCTCTACCCGTTCCGCAAGGGACGTTTCACAGGGGAGAAATACGTGTCTCGCAAACCCTTGCGAAACTCGGGGTGAGCCCCCAGACTTTCAGTATTTGAACACTAAACTCTGACAGGCAATACGCTTATCGCGTTGAAACCCGGGACCCGCGATGATCGTAATCAGGGAGAATTGAAGCTAGGCTTCTTTCTTTCAGATTCAATGATGTGGAGAAGTTTACGTTGTGCAAACAAACAGGGATTAAAAATAAAAAACAAAAATTAAACCGACACCCCAAACCAGCTTCGCAAAAAATCGAGACTAGGAACCTGCGACTCGCCGCGAGAGCTTCAGATAAGACTAAAATTAGTGCAGACTTCCATTGGTGGAAAGATGATCAGCCACCTCTGATAGTACAGTTAAACTCCGCTTTACGGACACCCGCTTAATACATGGACTACACTTTCTATGGCCCCCACAGTGTCCGTATGAACTGGGTTTGACTGTAGACCACTGTACTCATGAATTTTGCATGGTGATGTAGATCACGAAACATGCAAGCTGTGTGTTGTATTGAAGTTGGAGACCATCCAATTAAATCTGATTTTTAAAAAGAGGACCATGACAGTGAAGACGATAAGAAGATTACTGTCGAACTCTTATGCATAATAATGTAACAGTGAACCAGTGAGCGAACCGAGTATAAGATTATAAGATTTTGCTTCTCAGGAATTTCAAAGGACAGTCACAT